CGGCATTCATGGAAAACAGGATTAGTTTAATATTTAAATTAGGATTTACTACTTCAATTTTTATTAATTAATATTTAGCATGGACTGTTTATTAGTAGTTTATTAGTATTAATTTTTAAATATTAGTATTACCTGATGATTTTTAACCGTGTATAAAGAAATGTTAAATAAATAAATAAATAAATAAATAGAGAATTCTTGTCATTTGTAAAATCAGCTCTTTTATGTTCTTATGCTCTAGACCTTAACGATAATAACGGTTGATCTGCATCACTCTAAAACTTTTCATTCGTTCTTGTCAATCTGCACCTCTTTTCTTCTCAAGGCTAAGTGCATTGTTAGGCCCGGGTCCAACGCCGCACTTCACATGAGCCGAACCCAATTCAACCAATTAGGCTCATGTGAAGTTCGGCGTTTGACCAAATTAAGTTCGACTGATTTTATTTGGAGCGGCTGAGGCGTTCTTCACGCCTGGCCAGCCGTGAATAACGCCTGAAGACTGACTTTGGGTCAAACAGCGATCTTCACATGAGTCGAACCAAACGCCGGCATAATCAGAGGTCTAAAGGCGCCATTTTGACCTTACCTTGAAAAACCACCGAACAAGACCGCTTTTGTTATTTATTTGGTGTAGCAGATCGGTTCGACTGAATTAAGTTCGACGTTTGACTCAAACAGGCGTTCTTTTAATTATTTGAGTCGACCCAAACTGCCATTGGGTTCGGCTCATGTGAAGTAAGGCGTTTGACCCAGGCCTTAGTATACTTTATCTATATTGTTTCTTTTGGCTAATTATAAAGAGCCTCGTGGATGGTGCAAGTCGCGCCCGTTTTAACGCTCGAGATGTTTGTCCGATATCGACTTTCTTGCAGTCTGTGAAAATTGACCTTTTCGGCGTATTCCATCACCAAGTTTACATAAAAAGCGCTATCTTGTGACCCCATAGAGTAGCTAAATATTTGTTTGCAGAATGAACCATTGATGACGAAGTTACTGTTAGTAAGCACAAACTCAAGCAATTCTGTTGGTAAGGCGGCCAAACTGGTTCTTTCAGAGATGGCGTAAGCCTCGGGTTCTTAAAAACACCTCATTTACATCTAGAAGACGTTTCGCATTATTGCTGAAGGTTACAGTATTTTAAGTTTATAACTTCTTTAGTTATTCTTAATTCAGTTTTCATATCATCATGCTTGAATAAGACTACAGAATGTTCATTGTAACAGGAATGGTGCTCTCAGATGCACTCCAACGAGGTAAGGCGTTGAATTAGCATCGAGATGTAAAATGTAAAATGCCTCTTTTCTGACCTTATATTTATTTTCAGCTAATAAATGGCGGTCACCCGACTAGTTTAGCTCTTCAGTTATTTTGGGTGACCAGCAACTGTGTGTATTTTTAATTTATTTATTGTTTCATTAGTAATTAAGTTAATTTTAAGAAATGGACAACAACTTTAAGTTTAAAACAAGACATGTTTCGATCGTTCAACGATCATCTTCAGTTGTGAATTCGTTTACAAGTTCGGTTGAATTAATACAAGCAATGGCGTATAAGTTAAAACGTGATACAATTCAAAATTTCGAAATAATTAACGTACGATTTTAAGAAGCGCGAGACATGGAATAACACTGGCCCTTCATAGCCTCGCTCCAGCCTATTTGAACGAACTGTGATACAGTCAAGTAGCTCAAATCTGCTGTCTATTCTGGGCTAAGACGGCTTGTTACGGCGACATATTTTCTCAGCTATTGTGCCAAGGCTCTGGAAGACTCACCAAATGTCATTACACGGTGTTCTGCTGTGGACTGTTTTAAATCAAGATTAATTTAAACGTTTTTTTTTTTAAGAAAGAATTTTTTTAAGAGTAGGGTTTTTATGTACAAGGCTGTAAAAAGCATCGAGACCTCCATGTGATTTACATGTAGTATATTTTCTTAACAATTACATATTTACGGCGACAGAATTTTTTCCGAGTTGTTGTCATTTCTACATTATGTATTCCTTATAATACTCACTTAGGAGGGTGGTTGGTTGCATCTTTGATATGCCTTAATGTGGCTGTGCAATGTAGTTAGTGAGTTCATATGTGCCAAGTCACCATTTGGCTGTGTGACCGTGCGATGCAGTTCCAGCCAAAGACCCACATTTCACCCTTGCTCACCGTAGAGTCTCCAGTAGCTCAGTGGTTAGAGCGTCCGGTTAGATCACGGAGGGTCGTGGGTTCAAATCCCATCTGGAACTCGGATTCTTTCCCGAGTTGTTGTCGATTACATATTTACTGTCTTATTACGTTACAATCGCTTTTAACACCCACCTTGAGCAGGATGCTGTTGCTTTGTCCTTGGTGGATAATCCGCACCAGTGGATCGTGTTTGTTGATGGGTTGATCTTGGTCGATGATCTGCACTAGTGGATGGTGCTGGGTGATGGGCCGATCTAACTGGTGGTGATTCTTCCGGTGGTTTGCTATAAACTGGTGGAGTGTTCCCAAAAACACCACACAAAATTCGAAGAAAAGCTACAATATTACATGTTTTCTGAAAGACAAATGTAATATTGCAAGAAGACTTACAACAAGATGTTTGAGTATCTTAAATCAAATTTAAACTTTAATCAAGTCATGAGAAGCTGTACACACGAGGTAGAGTGACTATCCTCTCACTGCTACAGTAAAAATCAAAACAAAAGAAGCTTTGCTCTAATATTTTGTTGTTGTAAACTCATTTTCGGGTGAAATAGGCGTAATTTAAATGCAACATAGCCAACAAAACTGAATAAAATAATTATTTATCCATATTCAGCTGTTTTCTACACTTCAGTTTAGTTATATTTGACTGCCAGAGTGAAAAAGGGCTAAGACATTCCAAGAAATAGAAACATTAAGTCATTTCTAGTTTATTTCATGCAAAGTATATATATCTTATTAGATGTTTTGGTGTGTATCGCTGTATATTTTTACGAGTTGCGCCGTATTTTGACGGGCCCGTAAACAACGAGTAAAAATATACAGCGATACTACACTACAAAACATCCAATAGGGGATTTATTATCCAACTGCTGTAGTAAATAAATTTATCAATGAAAGAGGGAGAGTGTGACAGTTTTGCGTGCGCGCGCCGAGCTGTACAGCAAACAGGTTTTCTACTGTACAATATCGTTGTATGTTTGTACTGCTATCTGGACGGTATTCGCTGCAGTTGGATAGTAATAAAGGTTATGAGTCGATTTTGAGAATTTAAAATATGCATCTTCATAATGTCATAAACTGAGAGAAAATAAATTAGAGTGGTTGCATGTTGTTTTGTTGTGCAAGGTCCGTTGAATAATATCAGTCCCAGCATACATTGTATGCCTTAAATGCATATGCCAGATAACCTTTAACCTTTGCACACACTCTGTATGATTCTATGATAATAAATGTTAAATAAATAAACAAACAAACAAACAAATAAATAAATAAATGTTATTTTCCCTGTCTGCATAATAGCGTTACCTACTGGTTGCCAAAAGCAAAATTAAGTCAGTACAGTCAAATCCTTAGTAAGAAGTCACCCTTGAGGAATATGGAAGGGTCGGCTCAATAGGGGTTGGCCACTAACTAAGCTGGGTTTGTCAGGAATTAGCTTGAGGCTTTAAGCTTGAGGTTTGCGGCTTTTGACTCCAACATGGAGTCAGGTGAAGGCAATACAAAAACGTATGTTTAAATGTTTTTGTCAGTGGTCACTTTCTGTTTCAGACTGTTATCTGTCAACGCCTTTTCCAAAACAAAGCCAGAGTACATATATTACATTTTGGATGGCCACTTAATAGGGAAAAGGACAATAGAAAACCCTCATCGGGATGACCAAAAGGTCACCACGACCGCTTAATAGAGGTGGCCAGTTAATAGGGACTTTATTTATGGTACTTTTCTGACAACAATTTTGGGACTTTGATAACTGCCTGCTTAATAGGGGGTGTCTGCTATTAACAGCTAGACGGCCACTTAATAGAGGTTTGCCTGTAGTCAAACAATTTATTTCACGATAACTGCAGAAATTCTCGCGCACTCATTGGCTAATTTTTATTGTCAATAAGCAGACAGACACATGAATTTATAATTTACATGATGCGTCAACGAGTGAGAGCGGACAATTTGACAATTTGTTATCGTAAAAAACAAACTGATGTCAGTTTTTAATGAGTCTGTCCTGTTATTGACAATGAATTTCGTCATAACATTGTCAAAGTAGTCTGCGGATCCACACCGCTATCGTCTCGTGGATCCACAGCTACTTTGACAATGTTACGACAAAATTCATGATCAACAACAGGACAGACGCATGAAAAACTGGCGTCAATTTGTCAAAAAGTATGTTAGACCTCTAATCAATTATTTGCCATACATGATTCCATTTATGAAGGTAAGGATGATAGACTCTGCCATTTCTGTCCACATATTCTGACTCCTTGATTGCCATCGTACTTGTTGGTCTGACATACACCAGAGGTGGGAGCTCAGGATGGCCCTCCTGTAGCGACACACACACTGGAATGTTGTACGTCACCCCTGCAATAAAGTCCTGATCTCAATATTCATGCTCCTCACGTAATTATGATCTAGAATTTTTCACACCAATTGACCAGTAGCTGAAAGAATGTGTCCGGCTGATCAGGTGTTCTACACTTGGAACCTGTTTTACATTCTCTGGAAATGCCAAAAAAAAAAAAAGACGCAACTTGGAGGACAGAGTAGATGTTATTTATTATCACGCTGGATAAAAAAAGATTTCAAAGACAAATACTTGGCCCCCAGAATGTTGATATTCGGACCTTGGAGTCACCACTTTGCATTAAACATTCCACCAGGCAGGAAGTTGACCTGTGGGCTATTTCCAAAGTGCAGCTGACGAATTTAACTCTGTCAGAAATATTGGGAGCAAATTCTGCTGCAATAGCATGGTGGAGAGCCTTAACTCAGAGCCTCTAGACCCCAGAACCACACTAAAGCTGCTCAGCCAAATTTCAATAAAGAGCATTTCAATTACAGAATGTTTGCTTTCAATTGCTTTCACTCCATGAAAGGTTGTCAGTAGGAAATTCTGATCNGGGAAGGGGAGTGATGTTCAAGCCAAAAGGTTCTGTGGGGGTATTGATATTTTCTGGAACAAGACAATTTGAAATAATTATTTAGTTCAAATATAGCTCAAAGATCTCATGGCAGCAGATGGTGGAGAAAGTACTGAAGCAGATGGAAAGGACCTGTAGGGGGCAATCAAGTCATTCAAGGCAAGGGACTGCCACATGTGGAAGGAGTGTGTTGTTGCCCTACACACCACCAAGGTGTAACGGGTGTAAGCAAGTTCAATGAACTAAACCAATAACTGCAGTAGAAGTAAAACTCCATCATTCATTACATTTACCTCTGAATTTGACTGGGATTGTCCCGTCCAAGGTAAACAATTCTTTCTGTAGTCCATTATCATATGCTGTAATGATAACAGGTTGTATTCAGTACCATTATATATTATTTAAGGACGGCACCTACTAAATACAAAGGTTTTTGCGCCAGGTTAGGACCATGCGGAAAAAGTAGATCTTTGCAAGGGCTATTGGAATCCACAAAGAAAAATTGGGGTAGCCACACATTTTTTCGAGATAATTAGCCTTGAATCTCTACAAAAATGCTGATATCAGCATTTTTCTGAAAAAAGAAGGATAGGATATTTCTTCACAAATTTCGTTAGAATTCGCCTTTACATACAGAAAAGCAAACACATTTGTAAAGATCTTAAAACTACATGGTAAATGAAAACATAAAAACCATTTTTGGTATGTTTTTAATACCAAAATCATTGCGACAGCACTTTTAGCGTCTTGGACAGCCTTCCACTGGTTCAGCTAAAATACCGTCTAAATACCTTTTGCTCACAACCAGAAACTAATCATGTGTTGAATAGGCTTGCCACTTCCATTTCATAACATAAAGTGTAGGGGTAGCCACACATTTTTTTAAGTTACTGATCTTTTTTGAAAGCTTTTACTGTGCCTGTTACAATTTTTCCTGTCACCTCCCCAGTAAGTAAAACATTTGCATCTCTCGCACTTGTTTTGCATGCTCACTACGCCATCTGCAGGTACATGTTTACAGCTGGATTTCAGTATAATTCTTGACAGATAACAGCTGGTTCTTCAAGTGGAAGACGTTAACAGTTAGTGGCTAGCGATATCCTGCTATTTTGGTGTTCCTGGTTTAAGTACAGGTTTATTAAACTTGATCTGGTCACAGCAGGAAAATTTTGCTTTAATTTTAATCGTGTACTTGGTAGCGTAGTTGATTGCATCAATGTGAACCCAGTGCGTGCATGGCGCTTAAACCATGGCTTGCGTGATGCGCAGAAAGTGTGTGCACTAACAAAAGTAGGCACCGTCCTTAATTCACAATTTATTATAATGAAAGAAAGAAGTACATAACACTTTATTTTATATGATCACAATAACTTTCAAAGCAGCATTTCAAAATGTTTGCATCTGATTGTGAATGCCAATTATTGGCAATTTCTCACTAAAACATCTCTGGTCAATGATAATCTAACAAATAAAAATAACAACATATGACTGCCTTACTGGCATGTAACTTACTAAATTCTTGCAATCCTGGAATTAGGCTTTGAAAATGCTTTAACACCTGCTCAACATCCTGAACACATGAATTTGCTTTTTTCTAAAGAATGAAAGAAAAATATATAAAAATATATCTATTTTATATTTATATTGTATTTAATAAATAATTAAGGCTCATTATTTGGAGACTTCTGGAGCATCTAAAATATTAAGGGGCACACGCCAAGAGCAAAGCTTGTTAAACTCACAACTTTGAACACAACTTACAGTAGGAAACACTACAAGATCTACTTGTGATCATTGCTCATCAAAGTCTCAAAAATATGCTAAAACTCACTGTAAAATACAGTCTGGAGAAATATAAACTTTTTGCTCATTAAGCACTATAAATTTAATCTAAGCTCATTGGCATATTTGGGAGCTACTTATTTGAAAAGAGGGTGTCCAAAATGTGTTAAGGGCCTCCTCAAAAAATTTCTAAAACAATATGTGAAAATTAGAACCAATTTCTTTCAAAAGTGGGCATTCACAGGACACCTGGCACACCTGGACACCGGTCTGGGTGGCTAAAAACCTGATAAGAAGACATTCAAAATACATGACTCTATATCTCAGACTTGGAGGGGGGCTTATTTTTAACATGGGGTAAGGGGAGTTATTTATCAGAATTTTATGGCATACATGGGAATTTTTCATTATTCATTCTAAATTTAATATAACATTAATGATATTGATCTTGTTGTTGTTATCATGGATATACAGTAAGGAAACTCAAACTCTGAACACTTGACATTTTTTCTACACTTTTTTTTATGACTATCTAGAATAAAGGCTCTTCTTATAACGCATATATAGTGTTCACCAGCACCTTTTAAAGTGTAAAAACACTAATTAAAAATACTCTTGTATTTTTAAAATGTCTCGCATTCTATAGGCACTAACAAAATGTACAAAAAAAACATCAAGTGTTCACGTGCATAGTTCAAGCCTACCCACTGTAATGTTAATAACGTACTTTTGAGGTTCAGTTTTCAAAATTTGATGACCATGTCCTTAGTTTTCAGTATTTAGTGATATTAAATTATCAGTGAGTCTACCGGAATAACCCTTTGGTTCAATTACAAAAAATTCCTTTGCAAATATTTACCCACCTAAAAATACACCCACCAAGAAGCCCTAAGCTGAAGATAAAAGCCTTCATCAAAATAGCGTTCAGTTATCTGTCCATTTACTATTATTATGCAAAGCATATGGTTTAAAATTTTTCTGCAATCTGATCAAGGAAGAACTGCAAAAATGCTGACATTTTCAGCCTGGATATGAGCCAAATTAGCTCCAATCTACTCAAAAAGACATTTGCAGCATGAAAGCAAATGCAAAAGCAAGTAATTGAAATCACTAGTCTAGAACACCACAGGCAGCCCAAGCTCTCAATGTTATTCTTTTTTTTTCTTCCTTTTTATGCGAACGTTCAGGCTAACGTGACATATGGCATGTACTATTACATAACGACCGAATTTGACCACGCGAAACATGACTCCCGCCTTGCAGCATATGGAGGTGTTGTGTTACAATGGTTTGAATTCATAAAGGTTTGTATGGGAATGCAACGGCTTTGCTTGAAAAGCCAATTATTCTTATAGTTTGTGAATAAAATCTACTTACCCTGTCGCTGTGTTGTATTCTTTGTTGTTTGCCAGCTCCTCGGGCCGATCTAACGCGATTTCGGCGAGTTATCGTTCTGTGGGTTTCCACTACTAAA